TGACCGCTGGCTGTCATACATCCGGCGCCTTAATCCCCCTCCACCTGGGTCCTCTACTCCTTGGATACCTGCCCGAGGCCCATGCACACTGGTGCTGACCAGCTACCCCGACTGCTGTCCCCCGCTGGGCACCGAACCTGAGGCCTGGGTCCTCCACCTTCGCCCTGTTCAAAAGCCTGCACTGGCTCCCTAGTACCTAGGCAGGCTGTATCCACATCCTCAACCAGTAGCTCTCTGGGACTGAGAAGTGGCCACAGCCCAGCCACACACATGGATACCTTCCTTTCCCTCCTCTGGGATGTTTATGATGGCGTTTCCAACACCTCAATATTCTAATCAAGCTACTCCAACCCTTGCTACTGTCTCTCAGCCACCACCCCACTTTCCTTTGCCCTGTGATGCTGGTGCGATCTGGGGGTGGGATGGGGGACTAGGGACTCCCTTCCAGGCTCTGCCAACATGGGGCGCCACGGAGCCACCACCTCCCTCCACCACCCACCCCACCCCATCTCAGCTCAAATGCCACTTTCTCTCCTTGGACCAAAGGTGACCCCCTCAGAGACCCTCTCCCTCCAGGTTCACCAAACTTCTTCAGCCCCCTCCTGGCCACTCACAGGACAGCGTCCTTACTTGGATCTCTGCCCACCTCACTGCTTCTTAGCCCTGGGCCCTCGCTGTCACTGTCCCAAGACCTTCAGGACCTCCTGCTACTAGCTCCCACCACTTCCAGCACCCTAGGTACCAACTAAATGTTTGTAGAAAAATAATACTGATAATTCTGGCGTCCCCTACAGAGCAGTGAGCTGGCGCCACACACAGAGCAGGTCTTGCTTTTGCGTTTGCTAAAAGGCGAAGGAACATACAAAAGATCAATGAAAGCAGGGCATCCACACAGCTCCAAGCAGGAACGACCCTCTGCAAAACGGAAACACCCAGAAGTTTGTTCAGCCCTGGGGTGGGGAACCTTCCTTCTGCCAAGAACCATTTGGATATTTATAACATCATTCACGGGCCATACAAAATTATCAACTTAAAAATGAGCCTGCAGTATTTGGTCAAACATTTCATTAACTCACCCCCAATGCCTTGGCAGGGCCAGACCCAATGATTTCACGGGCCTTATACCGCCCATGGGCTGGACATTCCCCACCCCCGTTTTAGCCACTGGACTGTCCCACCCTTAAAAAATCCATGGGACATGCAAAAACTTCAGGGAGAACTGAGATGATTTGGGGCAGGACAGGCAGCCTTGGAGTCTGGGCAAGGACGCAGACAGAGAAGGCATCACAAATCAAGGCTACACGAGCAAGGAGAATGACAGGTGACAAAGTGGGTTTTATCAGCTCCTGATGCACCCCAAGCCCTCTGCAGAGCACAGGCTTAGAAGTTTGGGAATCGGATCTACCTGCTTCCTAGCTCTGTGATTTTGGACAAATCACCTATCCCACCTGAGTGTCAGGACTCTCATCCATAAAATGGCACTGACAGAACAGCCTTGTGCAGGGTCAAGGTTAAGCTAGACCAGTGGTTCTCAACCTTCTGGCCCTTTAAATACAGTCCCTCATGTTGTGACCCAACCATAAAATTATTTTTGTTGCTACTTCATCACTGTCATGTTGCTACTGCTATGAATCGGCATGTAAATATCTGATATGCAGGATGGTCTTAGGCGACCCCTGTGAAAGGGTCGTTCGCCTGCCAAAGGGGTCGCGACCCACAGGTTAAGAACCGCTGAGCTAGACGATGCAGCCCAGCTGTCACTGTGAAAACAGCTGCTTGTGTGACACACTCAACAGTGTCTCGCCAGCACCTTCTCTACGACCCGCTCTGGGGAAACTGGGAAGCTAGAACAATGGCTCCTGCCCTGGCCAGTGTGGCTGGCTCGGTTGTTTGGAGCATCATCCCATACACCAGAAGGTTGCAGGTTCGATTACAGTCAGGGCACATACCTAGGTTGCGAGTCCCATCTTGGGTTGGGTGCGTACGGGAGGCAACCAATCAAATGTTTCTCTCTCACATCGATGTTTTTCTCTATCTTCCTTCCTTTTTCTATAAAATCAATAAAAATATGTCCTCCGATGAGGATTTTTTAAAATGGAACGATGGCTCCTGCCCTGGAGGTGCAGGAAGGAGAGACGCCTTAACCAGCGGCGGCTGGCCGGCACTGTGGGCCAGGGGCTTCTCATAGGGACCCCTCACCTGCCCGGATTCAGAAGGCTTCCAGAAGGAAATGACTTAGGTAGGATTAGTCCTACCTTACCGATGAGAACCCGGGCACAGAGGGGTTGGCCGACCTGTCCAAGCCTATGGTCAGCAGGTGCAAGGATTGCATGGACCCCGGCCATCTGTCTGCAGAGCCAGTGCCCCCATCACTCCCCACTGCACAGCCAGCAACGGCCAGTGGGGCTCTAGCCAGGTGTCTGTCCTGTGTCCTGGGGATGCCAAGTGCCTCATATGCCCCTGTTCTCAGGGTGCCACCGCTCACAGTAAAGGGTAAAGAGAAGAACCGCAGTGTCCTGGCTGGAGAGGTGGTAGAAAGATGAAGATTCCCCTTGGAGACAGGGCTAAGGACCACCTGCAGGTTTTAAGCTCTCCTGGAGCGGAAGCCATAACCCCTACCACTCACCACCTAGCCCTCCTTCCTGGTATGGCAAGACCCTTTCTAAACCACAGGTCTGATCAGACCCTCTCCTCCCTATATGCTTCCTCAGCTGCCCACTGTCCTCAGAGGAAGTCCAGTTCCCACCAGAGATGAACGTGGGGGAGCTGCCTCGGCCCACAGGGACTCACCTTCTCCCTTCCTCATCCAGGGAGATCCATGGGGAGGAGTCCCCCACCCCAAGCCTCAGCCCACCAGGTGCTAGACACCGTCGACCTCTTCCTGCCCGCCCCCATGCCGGCTCCTCCCAGCTTGGGTCCTGGCACCCACCAGCCCAGACCCGCAGGGGCCTCCCATACCCTCCTACCTGATGTTGCTCTGGCTGCCCCGGCCTGCGTCAGTGCCACCGACGTCATTCTCTTTGTCACCATCACGGTCCCGGTCTTTCTCCTCCTGCAGCCGCTGGAGCAGCAGCTGGTGGGGGAGGCTGCGCAGCGTGGGTCCAGGGGAGGCTGCCGGCTGCACCTCGCCCTTCAGGTTGATGTCACTGGCTGAGCGCTGCAGGGGCCGTGGGGAGGCCAAGCCACTGGGGCCAGCCAGCCGCCGCCGCTTTGCATAGCTGGGGGTTTCCCTAAATGGTACTGGGGGCGGGGGGCACATAGGTGAGGCTCTGGGCAGCCAGGTGGGGTGGCCAACTTGTCCTGGTTTGCCCAGGCTCTCAGATTTTAGAACTAAAGTCCTGTGTCCCAGGAACTGCCTCAGTGCCAGGCAATCCAGGAGAGTTGGCCACCCCGAAGCTGCCACTGGGTCACGTTCCAAACTGCCTGCAATTGGCGCTTCAGGGGCAGAGCCTGGTCTTCCTGTCGCCAGGCGAGGTCTTAGAACTGCTCATTTCAGGGGAGACAGGCCAGGCCACATATTTGGTGACAACTCTCACCAGGTGCTGCTGTACGGGCCATGGAGCTACTCCACCCAGGAGACTGTGAGGGAGCATCTAGACCAGGGGCTGGCAAACTTCTGTCAAGAACCAGTCGCCGTTTCAAGCTTCGTAAGCCACACAGCCTCTGTTGCAGGACCCAACACTGCCGCCGCCGCAGCACAAAAATAGCCACAAACATATAGAAGCAAATGGGCTGTGGCTGAGTTCCAATAAAACTTTATTTAAAAAGCAGATGAGGATTCGGAAAACATGGTCCAACTATATGCTATTTACAAAAGAATTACCTCAGATCCAAAGACACAAGCAGGTTTAAAGTAAAAAGATAAAAGAAGATATTTCATGTAAATAGAAACCAAAAGAGAGCTAAGTAGCTATATTCATATCAGACAAAATAGACTTAAAGATAAAAAGTGTTACAAGAGACAGAGGACATTATGTTGATAAAAGTGTCGATTCATAAATAGATTAACAATTATTAACATATATTCATTAAACAGAGTATCAAACAAAAATAGGAAATAAACATTGACACATTTGGAGAAATAGATAGTTCTATAAAAATACTTAAGGCTTTAACACCTCACTTTCAATAATGGATAGAACATCTACAGAGAAGATCAATAAGGACATAGAAGACTTGAACCAACAGACCTAACAAGATATATACATACATGGAGAAAAACAGGGGAGGGCAGGGACCCTCCACAAAACAACAGCAGAACACACATTCTTCTCAAATGCACATGGAACATTCCTCATTGAGACAGACCAAAGCAAGTCTCAATCAATTTTATAACAATGAAATCATACACAGTATCTTCTCCAATCACAATAAAACTAGAAATCAAATACAGGGGAAAAAAGGAAATTTCACAAATATGTGAAAATGAAACAACACAATCTTAAACATCCAATGTGTCAAAATAGAAATCAGAAGGAAAATTAGTATATACTTTGTGAAAACGAAAACAAAAATACAACGTACCAAAACTTATGAGATTCCGCAAAAGCTATACTATGAGGAAAATTTATAGCTGAAAACACCTATGGTTAAAAAGGATAGAAGTCTCAAAAATCAATATCTTAATTACGTATCTTAAGGAACTAGAAAAAAAGATGCAAACCAAACCCAAAGCTAGCAGAAGGAAAGAAATAATAAAGGTTGGGCAGAGATAAATGAAATAAAGACTAGATATACAGAGAGAATCAATGAAACCAAAGCGATTTCTTTGAAAATATCAACAAAATTGAACAAACCTTAGCTAGACTAAGAAAAAAAGAGAAAAGATGGACACATGTAACTAAAATCAGAAATGAAATATGAGGCGTTACACCAATCTTAGAGAATTAAGAAGGAATGTGAGAGAATGCCATGGGCAATTATATGCCAACAAATTAGATAAGCTAGACGAGATGGACAAATTCCCAAAACTGACTCCAGAAGAAAGAGAAAATCTAAACAGGCCTATAACAAGCCAAGGAATTGAATCAGTAATCACAAATCTCCCAAACATTTAAATGTTCTACCAAACATTTAAAGAATTAACACCAATTCTTCTCAAACTCTTCCTAAACATGGAAGAGGAAGGAACACTTCCTGACTCATTCTGCGAGTAATTAAAAACTGGGCAAAGGACTAGAACAAACACTTCTCCAAAGAAGAGTACAAGTGGCCAATAAGCCCATGAAAGATGCTCACCACCATCAGCCATCAGGGAAACGCAACTGAAAACCACGATGAGATGTCCCTTCGCTCAGACTGGAAGAGCCATATTTAAAAAAAAATGACAAGAACACGTTTTGGTGAGGACCTGAAGAATTTAGAACCCTCACACATTCTTGGTAGAATTATAAAATGGCGGAAAACAATTTGGCTGTTCCTCAAAAAGTTGAATGCAGAATTAACATATGATCCAGCAATTCCACTCCTACGTATATACCCCAAAACAACTGAAAACAGGTACTCAAGCAAATACTCTTCACACATGTTCATAGCAACGCTATTTACAATAGCCAAAAGACAGAAACAACCCAAGTCTCCACGTAAGGATGAATGGATAAACAAGATGTCATATATACAAATAAAAAAATATTATTCAGCCATCAAAAGGAATGAAACAGTGATGCATTCTACAATCTGAATAAAGCTTGAAAATGTTTTGAGCAAAAAGAAGCCAGACAAGAGTTACATAGTCTGATTCTATTTATATGAAATATCCAGAATGGTAAATCCATAGAGGCAGAAAATATATTAGTGACTGACATGGGTTGAAAGAGGGGAATGTGGAATAATTGCTTAGTTATATAGGGTTTTCTCTGGGGTGATTAAAATGTTCTGGAATTCAATAGAATTGGTTGTACAACACTGTGAATGTACTAAATACCATTGAATTATTCCATTTAAAATAGTTAATTTTGTTATGTGAATTTAATTTTAAATGAAATTTAAATCCTCAATTTTAAAGCCTGAATTTAAAAACAAAAAATGCTGACTGGAGCTGGATTTGGCCTGCAGGGCATCGTTTGCCAAGCCCTATTCTAGACGCCTGTGACAGAAGTGTGGGCCATGGACCAGCAGGCTCACCTTAAGCTGGAGCGTCTTAGAAATTCGGAATCTCAGGCTCCATCCAGGTTCACTGAGTCAGATGTGATCAGGTGAGAAGATGTGCCATGAGAGTGGGTGGGGGCCTCCCTAGTGCACCTTCAGACACAAGTCCGTGCAGACACGGGCTTGAGTGTGCGCATGGGTTGTTGGGGGACGTGGGTCTGAAGGTGGCTGCTCCTAGGCCAGGGTCCTATTTCAGGCCTGGCAGCCTAGAGGGGCAGGTGGAGCTGCCAGGAGACCCAAGTGTCCTGTCCCCTGAGGGTGACGGGTCCCAGCCTGGCAGCCCCTGCAGGTGGGCTCCTTCCCTGAGGAAGAGGAAGGGGTAGACGGGCAGAGCTTCCTCCAGCTCCTCTGCGTGCAGGCCCCACCCAGGTTCAAGAGCTGGGATGGACGTGGCAACTTGCATCTGTCCCTGAGGGCGTGTCCTTGGAGTGAATATGTGCAGAGGGAGTGGGGAGAACAGACCCCTGGATGGTCCAGGTCTGAAGACAGGCTCTGCCGTGAACCGGCTGTGACTCAGTTTCCCCCTCGGGAATCGTGAACTAATAATCACTCATGGAGGGTGGGTTGCTGAGAAGGTAAGTTAGACAACAACAGCGTTTATAATAAATACTCATGACTACATTGGCCTGTGGCTCAGGGACATCAGGCTGTATCATCTAAGTGTGCGTGTGACAAGTGAGCAGAAAGAGGTGAGCGGCCACAGAGCCAATCGCCACCGGCCTAAGTGACTTGGATGCTGGCCCCAGACCTGGACCCACCTACGGCACTTCTAACCCCAACCAGAGAGCGCACCCTGGGCCGGCCAGGCAGTCAGCTGCCATAATGGTGCCCCCAGGTGCCCGAGCATCTCTGTCCACGCCACAAAAATGAGAGGCAGCTGGGGCCTTCCTGCTGCTCCGCTTGGCTCAGGCAAGCCTCCTCCCCTCAATCAGCTGGACTGAGGCCACGGCCAGAGTCCAGACCCACAGAACCGAATCCCACATGAGGTCAGAGGTGAGAAGTGGGTGCAAATAATCGTAAAAGATCATTTTTGCTTAAGAGAAATGGAGGCACAGAGGCCCCAAGCAGCTTTCCCACAGTTAGAGGACCACAAACAGAAGAGAGACGCCACACGTCCTCGGACCCAGATCCTCCCAGGCTGACAACCACTGCAAGCCCGAGCCCAGCCAGACGGAGATGTCTCCTGCCCAGCACACCTCCAACCTCAGCACGGCTCTGTCAGCCAGAGCCCACCCGACACCACTTCACTCAGCAGATGGACACTGCTGCCCTGGACTCGCCCACCCAGGACCTACTACCCATTTCTATGGTCCCGGCCCTGCTCGGGCATCAGGGGCCATAAGCGAGCCTTGCTGCTGAGAGGGCTACTCAGGGGAGACCCTTATAGAGCAGTGATGACGAACCTATGACACGCGTGTCACAGGTCAAACGCAAAGTCATTCTTTGGTTGATTTTTCTTTGTTAAATGGCATTTAAATACATAAAATAAATATCAAAAATATAAGTCTTTGTTTTACTATGATTGCAAATATCAAAAAATTTCTACATGTGACACGGCAGCAGAGTTAAGTTAGGGTTTTTCAAAATGCTGACACACCGAGCTCAAAAGGTTCGCCATCACTGCTCTAGAGAAAGGTCCTTAAAGGTGAACTTGGCCTTAATCTCTTCAACCCCAGACCTGACAGTCACCTTACATTACAACCGAGAAGGGCCCTAGCCCTAAGACCCGCCTGGCTCTCTGCTACTCATTGTTACTCAGAGCAGAAAGGGGAGCCTGGGAGTCTGTGTTCCAGAGAGAGCCATGGGCAGAAAAGCCGGGCCAACCAGGACACAGGGGAGCCAAAATGGGAGCCACCATTCGGCCAGGTACCTGGAGGGGTGGCCTCTGGCCAGAAAATACTCTTCCTTGAAAAGGAGGCCCAGCCATTCCTGCCGCTCCAGGCTCCCCACCCCAGAGCAGGATAGCAGGGTTCCTAGGACAGATCTCAGACCAGCCCACAGCCCCAGGGACTGGGGGGAGGAGACCTCCCTGAGGCTACATGTGAGGCGGAGCCCCGTGCTCCTGCCTGCCCTGGAGTCGAGACTAGATGGCAAGTCTGTTTTTTTTTCTGGGACCACACAAGTCACTCACACATCTGGCCCTGAGGACAGCACCTCATCCCTGTGTGCTTGCATCACACTGATGTGACCCTGTACGGGAGGGTGACCCTGTCATTCAACCTCATTCTTGCTGTGGGCAGGGGCTCACAGCCACTGTCCCATACCCCCGGCTAGTCCTACACTTGACCTATTGGGAAATCGAGCCTTGACCCTAATTTCAACCCCCTCTCAACCTCAGCGGATCCCTAAACCCAGCATTGGCCCCAACCAAAAGCCCCAACCTAACCATGCCCTTGACCTTGACATTGACCTTGACCCTGACCCTTGTCCACTCTGCACAGGCTCTTCCCTTCCCTCAGCCTATTCCCCAGCCCTGCAGGGGCCACAGATGGACTCACAGAACAGAGCACAGCTGGCAGCCAGGGCTGGAAGAAGCAGCTCAGGGCATGAGGGCTCCCTTGTCATGTTCCCGCTGACCTCAGACAACCCCCACAAACCCACCTTCAACTTGGACCTGGGGTGGGCAGAACTCACCGACATCCGAGTCTTTGTGGGTCTTGATGACCTCCGCCAGTTCAAAGTTCCCCGCGATGATGGCCACCTGGGGTGGGAGGACGGGGGAGGCTCAGCCACACCACACTCCCCATCCCTGCGCCCTGGTGGCTCCTGGGGCTCCTGTCTTTGGAGGTTGGTGGCCCCAGGTTCGGACCCTGTCCCCGCCTAACTCTCCCACCAGTCTGCCCAGGACTGAGGGATGTCCTGGGACACAGAGCTGAAACCAGAAGAGCCCTGAGCACACAGGGGCGTGCTGGTCACTCCACCTATTCTCTCAATGGTCCCTCCACATACCACCTTTCCTCTCTGAGCCATAGCTCCCCACTGCCTCCCTCCTGTCACCCTCCCTCTGCCCTTCCCTCACCCCTGCATCTGGTCCTCCCACAGGCCCTCCACTGCCATCTCGGCACCTGCTGGATAGCATGGTGGCCTGATCTGCTCTCCCTACATCTCCTTGGTAGGCCCCAGCTCTCTCCGTGGTCCCCAACTCCTCCCACACATTTCAGGCGACATGGACACCCCTCCATCTAGTCATCCGGGGCCGAGAACCAAACCCGGCCAGAGAAAGGACTCAGAAACATACCGAAATTAGTCAGGAGCTGGGACCACCCTTCTGACCCCCGTCACCTCTGCACCCTCCTGTCTCTGGAAGGTCAGACCCACATCTGTTCTCCCCTGGCCCCAGAGCCCTCTGACCCGCCTGTCCCAGAAAGTGAGAGTTCACCATCCACAGTGACCACCCCCATCAGTCAGTCCCCCACTGCTGGCCACCCGGTCCCCCACCCCACCCGGGGGAAATTGTCTCAGGGAAGAACCAAGATCCAGAGAGGTATAGCCACAAAGAGACAGACACCCTGGGAGTAGCTTCTCGCTCCTGCGCATTCTGGTACCTGGAAGGCCGTCTGGCTGTTGTAATTGCGGACATCCTTGTTGGCGCCGCGGAAAAGCAGGACACGAGCACAGCTCTCCTGTTGGCAGTGTGGGAGTGAGGGTCATGGGGTGACAGCACACACCCACACATTCAGAGCATACATGCATGGCATGAGAGGAGCAAGGCAGGAGTACACAACAGGTCCCATCTGGCCCAGGAGGCCCAGATGCACACAATGCACACCTGTGATTCAGAACACACGTGTGTTCAGGAAACAGACATGCACACGTAGGCCTGCAGGGCCACAGCTCACTGCAGACGCAGAACAAGCATGCATGGAGGGACACCGGATCAGACGTGTACACACATGTAGTCACTGCACGGGATCACCCGTACCCACACACACGTGTACACCTACAGTCACACCTGGTTGTAGAGGGCACAGATGTGCAGGGCCGTGTTCCCCGAGGCATTCTGGGCCCCCATGTCAGCTCCGTAGAACAGCAGGTGCTCCAGGTGCTGCACGTGTCCAAAGCGGCAGGCCTAGGGAAGGAGGGGGGTGCTGCTGGGCCTCTGGCAGAGCCTGGGACCCCCACGCTTGCAGGGGGGCTGGGATCCCAACTCCTGCAGAGAGAGCCGAAAATGCCCCTACGCCCGACAGAGCCCAGGACCTCACCCCCCTGACAGGGCTCCCTGCCCACCTGGTGGATCTCCTGCCAGCCATTCTCATCAGTGGTCCCCAGCTGAGCATGGTCGTGGAGGAGCAGCTCACAGCAGAGGGCGTCCCCGCCCCCCAGGGTGCTGTGGTACAAGGGTGTCAGGCCACGGCTGTCCTTGTAGTCAGGTGAAGCGCCCAGGTCCAGCAGGGTCTGAGGGCGAGGAGCCTCAGTGTCCATGCTGGACCCAACTTCCTCCCCATCTTGGTCCACATGCCCCTCCAGACCCGGCCCTGCTGGTACTAACCGTCAAAGCCGCAGCGTTCCGCTGGCGCGTGGCACAGTGCACTGCCGTGAGCCCGTCGCGTGTGCGGAAGTCCAGGTGGGCACCACCATTCCTCAGCACCTTCAGCAGGTCCGTGGCGTTGTCCAGCTGCGCTGCCAGACTCAGGGGACACTCTGGGTTCAAGGGACAGAGGAAGGTTATGTTCCAGTCACTCCAGAGCCATGCCCCTTCCCCCACTGCTTCTCACCTCCTGAGTCAGGGTCGTGGAAATTGGGGTCTAGCCCCTTGTCCAGCAGGCGGGCCACCTTGTCCGTGCTGTGCAGCTGGACGTAGTCCATGAACTTCTTCAGGTTCGCCTGGAACACCCGGCCATCCTGGTCAGCCCCATCACAACCACCATCATCAGGCCGTCACCCACCTTCCAACAGCCAGATTCAGGCCTCCTGGGGAGCATCCACGCTGCCCGGCTCCTCACCTGATACTAGCGCCTCAAGGCCACCCAGGCAAGGACCAGCCCACCCATCCCCCGTCCCCATCAGGGCTCTGTTAGGGGGTCTAAGGTGGCCTGTTTCTTCCCTGGCCCATATGCCACATGCGCTCGCCCCCTGCAGGCCTCGGGGTCTTCTCCACCCACAGGTGGCCCCGCTTGTGTCAGGACCTCGCCCGGCAAAGCCCCCGAGTCCCCGCTGCTACAGAAGCTTCGTGCACAGGCAGGTGCCCGGCTGGAAACACGCACGCACACCAGAAACGGGAGAGGGCAGCACGGGGACCACTCCACAGGAGAGGGCCTCCTCAGGCTGCTCAGGACAACTGAGGGAGAGGCCTCAGCCGGATCCAGGGTGGGTGGTGTCAGGGTGGGGCAGCTGGAGCCCAGGCAGGAGGAGACACAGGGCCGTGGTGTGAGGTTGAAACTCATCCCCAAAACAAGCAGGGCTCACTGAAGAGCAGGAGTCACCAGTGTCTCCTGGCCAGCGTGGCTCAGTGGTTGAGCATTGACCTATGAACCAGGTCACAGTTCCATTCCTGTCAGGGCACAGGCCCACGTTGCAGGCTCAATCCCCACCCAGTATGGGGCAGGCAGGAGGCAACCGATCAATGGTTCTGTCTCATCATTGATGTTTCTATTTCTCTCTCCCTCTCCCTTCCTCTCTGAAATCAATAAAAATATATTTTTTTAAAAAAGGAGTCACCAATATCCTGTGGGACTTTGGAGGAGAAGTAACCATGGGAGGAACCAGGGTAACAGGGCCCAAAGGGGCCACAATAGTCTCTGCAGCCACAGCGTCACCTCGCTGACCACCACGTGCTCTGGGCAGCAGAGAAGTCTGGCATGGAGACTCCAAGGTCACAGAGGGGTCACTGGGACACAGAGGGGTCCCTGGAGCTTGTCTAGGCTCCAGAGAAGTGCCCAGCAAGCAAACATCCCCTGGCTCATGGGAACCTGAGGTGGGGTCTACCTGTGGGGAGGCTGCCCCTCCCGCATTCAGAGGAGGCAGCAAGGTGGCCCCTAGCAATGGCATCCGGTAGTGACCCACAGGGTGTCCCAGCACAGGCCCCAGGGTCAGACAGATCTGGGTTCAGCCCAGCTTCACGGCTGCACAGTGAGCAAGTCACTTAACTGCTCAGGACTCAGTACCTTCCTGTGCCACACAGGGTGACAGTCCCTTCCCGGAGGGAACTAACGAGATGCCTGATTCCAAGTGCCCAGCCCTGGTGTGCACGGAGTGATCCCCTCTCCGCCAGTGACCATGGTGGTGCTTGTTCACTTCTCTCCCCTCCTCCACCCCAGGTTCTCACCAAGGCATGTGCCCCATTGCACTCCATCCTCCTGAGCCAGGGTGGGCCAGAGGTTCTGATCCTACCAGAACCCAGCACCAGACCACCTACCCCAGACCCGTGAGGCCTGGAGTGTGCCCAGCCCTCCAGCCCCCACCCCTGCTCTGGGCCCCTGACCACAGGACAAAATAGGCTGAGCCGAAGCCGCGTGGCTGCCTCCTTACCTTCGTGTGAAGCTTGGCAAACTGCTTATCATCGATGAGGTTCTGGGCATACACTCGCCTCTTGTATCGAAACTGCTCGGGTAAAAATAAGGCAGGGAAAGGCATCCTCCTGGGCTGAGTGAACGCTCGCACAAAACCAAGTCCTGCTTACCTCTGCGGCTCAGGCCTCACGCAGATCAGCCCCCTCAGCACAGAACCCCTCTCGCCAGCTACACAGATCCCATCCCCACCACCATGGGCACAGAGCCAACCAGCTCAGAGGGACACGCGCCTCGCCTACTGCCCCTGGCCTGCAGTGGGCTTTCTGTCTCAGTCCTGCCCCAGGACTCCCTGGGAAACCCCACTCCTCTTCCAAGATCTGGATCCAGGCTTCCCTCCCCTGACACCCACTCTCTGAGCAGAACTGACCCTGGGCCACCACAGAGGCCCAGCCAAGTCGGAGCTCCGCTACCATAACGCTTATTTCATTGTTCACTGCACTTGGCATCCCTCCGCCCAAACCACGAGCCTGTGCCCCATGCCTGACAGGGCACTGCTGGCCTGTACAGCACAGATGGGTGAGCAGATGAGGAGGCTTAGGTTTGTCTTCACAGGCTCCCAGGAGGGGGCTGACGACACGCAGATAACGCGCTGGCTTACTCCACACACGCTCTGGGCGCACCCCTGCTCGCACCCCAACCCCTGGAATCACGCTCTGGGCTCCCACCGCACACGCTGCTGACTGCAGGCCGGCACACTGCTCCCTGCGCGCGCACACACACACGCACACACACACCCCACACGCACCGCACACACAATTCACATCGCTCCCTGCACACAAAGCCCCCGCTCCCACACGAACTTCTCACGCCTCGGAGCTCAGT